GCATGCAGGATAATCGCGTTGTCTTGTCTTTTAATTTTAAGCCTGTGATTGACTAAAACCGGCTGACTTAAACCGGCAGTGGACGGTCCATCTAAACGAAGCTTGAGTGCCGTGAACGTAGCCTCAACATCTACCGCAAACTACATTCACGGCGCCGTGAACGTAGTCTGCAGGCTACGTTCAGGGCGCCGTGAACGTAGCCACTGCGTATTAAAAAAAGTATAGAGAAAAGTCGCGTTTTGAGAAAACCGCCGATAAAGAAAAATAAAATATTGACTTTATGAGGAAATGGAGGTGACAGACATGCCCCGTATGGGAAAAAATACGGTTTTTGGGGTTCTTCTAAAGCGATGAAACAGTTGTAGGAGAGGCTGAGGAAGCTAAAAATATGCCTACAAATTCCTTAATTATTAGCTGAATCGGCACTTTAGGGGTGTAGCCCCCCCTCCCAATTTATCTACAAATTTTATCAAAGAAATAGGGTCATTCATCTACCCGTACCACCTTACACTTTTTCTCCGGAATGATACTACTTAAACTTTCCCTACCATTTTTTACTACTACTGCAAAAAAGTTTTTATGGCAATGGGCAAATTTGGAAGCAACAGTGCTCATGACAGCCAACAAGAGACTACAAGATGTTCTTATACTTTTATGTTTTCTTCTACCTCTACAAAAATACTTTGGAAAAGCAACAGGGATCAATCTGATTTATGTAATGGGACAGTAGTCAGTAACCTCAGCAGACTCATCATGTGTAATAAGTACTGTCCTGTACCGTCAAGAAAAATTTCCCTCTAGGACAATTTATAACTCTATCATCTTATCTTTCTAGACTCTACTAACTTTATGAGAGAAGCATGTCTTGGAAATAATATGATATGGACGGTCCTAGTCCTAGCATGTGTCAGGCAGCAAAACACATGCTAGAAAGAAGCAGACAGCACTACAGCGACCCTGTCTGTGAAATTATAAGAAATTGTTTGTTGAGACCTGTATGGAATGTTAGTTAATATCACGGGCGGGTCTTTCACTGGACAAGAACGTCAGCGCTGGTCACTTTTTGTCGGCAGTACAGTGGACAAGAGATATAGACTGCTGTGAAATTAATTTTTATTTAGTTTCACGTAGGCTAAATAAAATCATTATTGTTTATCAACGTTAAAAAAACACTCTGATGATTTGAAAGTGCTCAGTGAGACAATAGATGGGGTTCACAGTGTCTTGTTGCACTTCAGAGACCCATTCCTTCATCTTTGTTTATCACGCCGGCTTGTAACTTTTATAAAATGTAAATCGTCGCCCGTCGAGTCCGCCCACTCAGTGGTGATGTCAGCCTTCCCGGCGAATTCAGCTTTTGCCCAAGGGCGCAAATATGCCTTCTAATTTCCAGTTGGTCCTTCTGTTACTTTGAAAGGAAGGACACGTCTGTGAATCATTCTTTCATCAGTGACATGTATGCAGGCCTAAAATTCAATAGACTGTCTCTTTTAACTGCCTGTACATCTATTATTGTCAGCAAAGAACTTTTAATGTTTGTTGAATTTTAAGCCAGCCATGGTTCTGTTTGGTGTTCTATTCTCGTCGCCTACTTCCCAGAGTTACCTACTCCGGACTGGCGATGAAGCAAACCGCCCGATTGGAATCAAAGACAGAAAGCCCTTTGTTCGTTTGGCTGTCAGAGTCTGAGCCTAAAAACAATTTACACCCCCCTCGACCCCCCTTTCCAACCATTACCTTAGCTAGACTCTAATTTCTAATCATTTTAGAATATGATCGGACATTGTCGTGAGCTAAATTTGTTTTATTGTGCTTATGTGTGTGTGTGTGTGTGTTAAAGTACAGCATGGAATCTGATTCTTCAAGACTTTAAATCTGTATGGGACAGGATCATTGGTAGTAACGTATCGCATAACATTTTTTCATAACACAGGCTTCATAATTTTACATGGCAAGAGCACATCGACACTGTGTGAAATTAAGTCTTTGAGTGAAGTACTGGCTGGGATGGGGGGGGAGGTATCAATGGAAATTACAGCCGGTCAGTTCACTACAAAACCATGAGCCGCCCCTGGTTAATATTTTTATAAAGTCTAGTTCTTCTGTTATGGCAGAACTTGAACTGGTTTACTTATATATGAATCACATAAATATATATGACATTGGTAAGGTATACTCTCACAGTAATGTTGATAAAAAGCATTCAGTTTGATTAAAAAAGCTCTCTTGTATTAAAATGTTATACAGAACAGTTAATATTGCATAAAAAGCACAACATGTGAAGAGTTGGAACTTTTGAAAATTATTTTAGCAAACTTCTCCAGAGTAGAAGGAATATAACAGCATTTTGTCTTCATCTTCTTCAATGTTATTACTTCACATTTTAGACAGTTTAAAAAATCATTTATAAAATGAATGATGCTTTTTGTCTTGTATTGAAATATAATTGCTAAAGTAGGCCTACTATTAGCCAATTATTTATTGCGCTTTAATAATACACATGGTGTCAATATTGGGGCAAAAATAATATAAAGCTGTAAAAAAAATTGTTTGACTTGACATTTATTTGTAACAGGTGAGAGTGGCGACTCAGAAACATACCTTTGCCTATCTGAAGTCTTGACATTAAATATTTCAAAACAGCTGAGTGCGACAAGTCACAAGCAACTCACAATACTGTAGAGGTGCAATATATTCTAAGACCTTGAGCCAAACGGTTACTTAAAACTGGCTGGGTACCATCAGTAACAGACTCAAAAGAATCGCTCGTCAAGTCATTGTCGAAACAGTGCGTACTGCTTGTGAACGGAAGCCTCACTTGGTTACAAGGGTGTCTTAGAAAAAGGACTTTCCCAAAATTAGATCTAAATGAAACTAATGAAAAACTGAAAATTTAACTATACCAGTGACTTCAGACTCTCCTTGTAATACTGTGCACCCTTTAACTTTAAATGATTCTCAACCACCTTTAACTTTTTCAAAATTCAAAAGTTAGGTGGTTACAAAGTTTTAGGCGACTAAAGTTAAAGTGATGACATTTCACAAATATTGTATACAAATTATAATAAAAATAATTACAGCAACAGAAACTTAGCCAAACTTACCATATAAGCCAAAAAACGTGTTTCGTCTTGTTTTTGATGCTGTTACAGTGTTCACAGTAGGTATCCTCTCCTTTGCACATAGATCAGGAACAGCAAATTGCAAATGCTGTACAATGAGGAAAGAAAACACTGACAGGACTTTATTTTAATCAGTCTTTGCTGTTGCAGTCATCTGCTGTGGACGGTGATGGCAGAGGATTGTACAATTTTTCTCCAAATCTTGAAAGCACAAACTTAGAGGAAACAGATCTAAGATTCTAGACCTCTCTGTGTATGCCAATAGAAACTATCTAAGTCTGTTCTCCAGCAGAATTTGAAATGCACGGTTAGCCTGATTGAAGTCCAAGCAATGATTGGTGTGTCTGGTTGAAGTACGTTTCGAATTTACAAATAACTGATAAAAAAAATCTGTTTCAACAACAAAGTCACCACATCATTAGTAATTCAATAGATGATCATGATAGAACGTCTGCTTGTCTAGATTCTAGATCATCTTGACTATAATTTGCCATAAATTAGAATTAGAGTCTAATGAATGGCTAAAATATTCACTTTTTTAAAACCTCAAGTTCAAGCCTTAAACTTAAAGTTTTGTAAGCCTACTAAATTACTAAACTTGTTCTGCTGGCTAGATCTAGATCTAGACCTGAACCTGAACTACTTCAACAGTAACAATAATAATTTGAGTAATAAAATAGCCTAAACTCTAAACAACCACTACTCACTACAAGACTACAGCACACAAAAAAACCAATCTGGTTCTGAAATTGGATGACACTTGCAGTACTAGATCTAGATCTTGATCTACGTATCAGATGAGTAGCCTAGCTGGTTTGTCTAGAATCTAATTGAGTCTGATGATGGATCACCGCCAACTGCTGCCTCATCACCAAACTGCCTGGAAACTGGCACCAACAAACTGATAAGAGACGAACAAGCCTTACAGTTACAAGCTTGTCGTTGTCTAACAAAGGAAATCACATATGAATCTGCCTGTACTGAGTCTTCTACAAAAACGTGCAATCTTTATACCCGACGGTCAGGAACTGGAATATTTAATAAGATGCAAAGAAAAATTGTGGCGTTGTCTCAGGAAAATCCTTTTGAAGTTATTTACTAACTGTTGTGGAAAATCCTGACATTGCTTTTCGGAAATTTCTGAAAGATCGTCATAGCAAGGGGCAGCAATCGTGTTCGAAAATGGAAGTAGTAAGAGTAGTTTCCCTTAACAAATGATAAAGCGAAAACCAACAAATACAGCTGTTTTCACTATTAGGACTTTGTATTGATATATAAAAAAAATATAAAGGTTTTGTACAAACGGGGTGAAATATCTAGATGAAATTTCAAATAGGAAATTTATTTTCTAAAATAATAACCATAATTTGCGACATAGCAGTTTTATTTTTTCAGCACCTTCATTGTTGATTGGACTCCTAAAAATAGAACCCGATTTCTTCAACCAATCATTGACGAAGCTGTTTGGTATTAGGTCGGAAGCTCTGCAAGATGGCAGTCAGTATAAATACTAACCGCGTTCGAAGCAAGGTCGCGACGATTATTCTCAGAATTTGCTCGAATTTATCGATGTTTTGCAATAAATTGCTTATTAAACATTTCCTCCCAGGTGCTTTCAGAGCTCTTCGTTGGAGATGCTCATCAGTGTGCTTTAGTGCTCGTGTGGAGACCCACCCTCCCTAACCGTCTGTCTGTGACTGCTCACTGCTCGTAGGGATAGGCTGGCTCCCAAGCCCTAATTTCTTGCAAGCAAGTCAATCCCAGTCCGTCTTAGGTTCTCTTTCAACTTTCAATCACGTGTGAAGTTTTTGATTGATGAATGTAGGGTGCCGATAAACAATGACTTCCTTGTTATTTTGTTAATGCACCTGCCACATAGTCTTATCTTCAACATCGGCTGGAGATAAGTTGTGTAGCCCTTTCCTCCTCTTAGTCTGTTTTGCATTGGTCAGTGACCGCAACTGCAACAAAGCAGACTAAAACTTTTCAGTGAAGCAGGCTTTCACAGATTGGCCATCCTTGAGAAAAAGTTTCACGAGGCATAGTAACATGCATTTTGTCTCTTAGTTCTCTGTAGATCAAATACTATTGCACGCTCAACATAGCAAGCAAGCGTCTAGAAAAAGCCGAAAGATCCTGGGCAATACAGGAGAGTAGAGTAAAAAAGGAAGGCGAGATGGACAATGGCTAAAAATCAACTCTCTATGCAAAATAAAACTGCTGACCAATGAGCCTGCATTTGTTGATGATTATTGGCTTGGAGAATCTGAGGAGGCAGACAAACCTACGAATATGAGCACAAGGTATTTTTTAATCACTTCATTCAGCTTTGAAGGCTGCGCGTACGTAATCTTTAACTTTAAAAGAACAAAACCCTACCCTGGAGAATATAATTTTTAAAAAGAAATTAGATTTGATTATATGATAGAGCAAGTACTGCTTTAGGCTACTTATATAATTTCTTATTTAATTTTATTACTTTTTAAAATAAAGATCTATCTATGCAGTTTCTTGTAGAGATCTCTTTAAGTGAGTTACGTGAATTTAGTTTAGTTCATCCAGGAAAAAATCTTTTTTTTTTAGCAGAGAAGAAAACTGCAGTGGCTTCGGTTTTTTTTTCATTATACAGTTTAAAAAACAATTAAAAAATTTAAGTAGTGGTCGTGCGTTACAAAATGGTTCACTCTTAGAAACATGCTTTTCTAAATTTAGACATAGGCCTATATGTGTCACGACGCGGTGGAATCAGGGGCTCGTCAATTTTGGAACATGGAGCTATTGGGATCATCTTAAAGCTTTTCTATATTCCTTGCTTTTGCTGAAAAAATGTCCATTTATGTTGAGTACAAGTCAAGATATTGGCGATTGAAGGAGGAGGGGGTGTCGCCTGGTTTCAGAGAGGTAAAATTAGCAAGAAAATGGCCGCCAAAGTTGAGTTATAATTTTCTTAGCTTGAGAGTCCGTGGAAACTGAAAATTTGCATCTTTTCTGCCTTTCATCGTTTTTCAGTAAAATCCACACATGTGTGTTCTGAACTTTAACTGGCATGAAAAGTGTTTCAGAGCCAAAAAACAAAAATTCTATAAAATATTCTCAAACCTGCAAAAAAATGCTAATTTCTTGACTTTCATATTATTTTGACGAGCACCAGGCACTCGTAAAAATAATACAAAAATCGAAAGAAACCGGCATTTTTCTGTCAGTTTGGCAATTTCTTTCAAATTATTTGTTTTTTGGCTCAACACGTTAATTATATACCTCCATACCAATAACTCGTTCCTCTGTGAATTTGACTCAAAACATTGATTAAAGGCACAAAATATTCAGTTTTAAGGGACTCAAAAGCTGCTGAAGTTATCAAACTTTGGCGGCCTTTTTTTGCAAATTTTATCACTGAAACAAGGTGACCCCACCTCCTTCAACAGATATATTTAATCTCAACACTTCTATTCAAGATAGATGGGAATTTTTTTCATTGAAAGCAAGGCAAATGAAAGTTTTTAGATAATCCAATAACTCCACATGGCCAAAAATTGAAGAGCGCCTGATTCCACCTCGTCGCCACACATCTATTAATTATATCGCTCTTGGAATTTTTTAAAGGATTTTTTATTTTATTTCTCAAGTCTGAAGTTTCAGTTCACAACAATTTTGTTCCTCTATTTTTTTTAAGGGAACATTCCCTCAAAATAGTGTTTTAAATCGCTCAATTACAGAGTCTGGTATAACATGAGGGTGGGGGGTTTGGTATTGCAAATCAAAAGAATGACCCATCTTGTACTGTACCATAATAAATATTCAATCTTTGATTCATCAAGTGCAGGATAACATTTTACAAGATGAATATCGCTTTTGGAATTTTTTAAAGGATCTTTTCTTTAAATTTCTCAAGTCTGAAGTTTCTGTTCACAACAATTTTTGTTCCTCTATTTTTTAAAGGGATCATTCCCTAAAATAGTGTAATCGCACAATTACAGAGTCTGGTATAACATGAGGGTGGGGGGGTTGGTACTGCAAATCAAAAGAATGACCCATCTTGTACTGTAATAAATATTCAATCTTTGATTCTTCAAGTACAGGATAACATTTTACAAGATGAAAACTCTAATCAAATGTAAATTAAGTTTGAGCAGTGGTAAGAGATGTTTAAGATTTTAAAATTAAAAATTATTATAATCTGACCCTATATATTTTTTTCTACATTCTCAGACTTGATCGACTTTTCCTGCTTCTGGATACTGGCTCAACTCCCTTAATTCGAAGGTCTGCAGCAGAGCAGCTTGGGGATGTGGTGCGACTTCATCCACATGAACTGACTAATTTGTTGAGCAAAGTAAGAGCATTTAAATTATCATCATCTCTCAAAGGAGTACTCTTTCAACAGTTATGACCTTTGGAAAGTTCACCAAAGTTCTGTTTTCCATGTATTTCAAGCTTCCAAGTGGACAATCATAAATCATCTGTTGCTTACTGACTGCTTGTTTCCTGAAAATGGGTTTTTTAATCGACAATTGAGTAAGGGGGGATAAAAGCGATCATTTTTTCCTTTTTTGAACCGATTTGAAATTAGGAGGGTTGTGTGGTGGGCGAGCTTAGAAATTACTTTTTTTTGTCATAGAGACTTCATTTAGGCATTCTATTGGTGTCATTTTCTATCCATACTGCGATGCCCTGCACCTTCACCATATCATCCTGTGTCAATCATCTGGAAAGAAACTTCACATTATTCAGGCAGCAGCAGAAAAAAGATCAGCAGCCCTTCCCCCAAACTAACACTGTCCTCCCTGCAGTTCGCACCCTCACTCCAGGCTTTCCCCTTCTGTTATTTTGAGATTTATTATTTTTTTTGCAAGAGAATTTTCTGTTGTTCATGGGTTTTACTTTTAGAAAAAGCTAAAAGCTTTTACTCTAACACTCAACTTGTACAGTCTTCGAAACTTTTCTTTTTATTCAACTTTCCTGCTTCTGCCTCCTACACACAACAGTCACCCCTTCACACCTCTCTGATAAAAAACAGAAAAGTTTTGTAGATGCTCAACTTTGTACTTTTGTATTTTTAAAAATCTCTATTTGCAGGCCTTTAGGAGGCTATAGCCTAAAGGTAAACCCACATGTTTTGTGTTATATTAGCGGGATCATAGCCTAAAATGCAAACTGAAAAGAGGATCATACATTGATGCGGGAACTGTACACTTTACTTAAATCGTATATTTTTTAGTTTTACGATATAACGTATCATGTGTAGGTTTTATAATGCTTCTGTGCAACTCCCCCAGATCCATGGCTATCTTCGAAGTCCCAACTGGGAGACTCGCATTGCAGCATCCCAGGCCGTTGATTCCATCGTTAAAAATGTGCCACAATGGGAGCCCAGAGGGGCTTCAAAATCGGGTCAGTATCATATGTATCCCTTTGTGTAAAATTTGTGTTGTATAGTAGTTAAAGCTAATGTTGAACAAAAATTATTCTGTCAGTGAAATTGAAGTCATATTCATAAAAGCATGTTATTTTAAGTGTACATAATGTGTCGTACTTTGTTTCAGCACATGTAAAAGCAAAACTTCTTGGCTATATTTAAGACCATTACACAGTATGTGTTTTTGTTTGCATGTTAATGCATTTGTACATTTTCTGAGGTCATCTGTTCATATTCAACTTTTCTCAAGTGATTTTTATTTAATTTTGCTTAGAGGCATGATTATTAAATTCTTTCTGAAATGTCCATAAAACTGATGTTTGAAATCGACATGAAAGTCTTGTCCCTGTAACAAAATTGCAAAAAAACTTAGTTTTTGGTAATAATAACTTTCAATATTTGGAGACCTTGCATATAAAACTGTATGAACTGCTGTTGGTTTCAGAGTGTGGTATGGGATCATATGTTGGAACTGGCACAGTTTTGTTCTCTCAGTTTGACGTGAAGAGAGTTTTGGAATGTGGGGCTTCCTTGCTTGCATCAGAGGGAGATCAATTTGATGTTGGAGCCTCTGTTGTTGGTACGCTGTTCTGTACTCATTGACTATTGCTTATTGGAATTTTATTAAACTGTTGATTTCTTTTTTTTTTTTTTCTTAACAGTTTAAAGTTTTCTTTAAAAGTTACAACCACCTGGAATTATGCTATTTCTGTGAGTTTGGGTATGAATATAAGTTTTCATGACATACGAGGTGAACTCTTGTTAGTAATACATATATATTTGTCTCTTTTTAAGGTCCCAGAGGTGCTGGATTTCTTTTCTGGCCGTAACATTTTGAAGTGTACAGAGGCATAGCTAAGAAACTTTTGCTCAAATGCAGAAGTCCCTATAAATGGTAGCATATTGGAATACAATAAACAATTTTTTCGCACAATATGACTGCTTTCGTCTGTATAATTTTTTTTTTTTTTTTAAATTCTGTGGGAAAAGTGACCAGCACTTCTTCCATCAAATAATTGAAATATGGCAGTTATATTTATACTGTGAATGAATCTTCTTGAAGGTCTGTTTATTTTTTTCCCCAGATATGGAGGACAAAGAGCAGTTGTTGCAGCAAAGGCAGCTTCTAAATAAAAGACTTGGCTTGGACATCGCTGGCAGCTTAGGTCTTGACTCTAGCAATCTTTTCAATGATGAAGACCTCTGTCTAAATATTGACCCAACGATGCAGCCCACAAATAACAACTCAAAGGTACAATGGCAAGAATTCATGTCTTTATTAATGAAAAATGCATCCTCATCTCATTCTCAGCTGTCTTCATAGCATTTTCACAAATAAAATCATTCTCAATGTAACAACCAACAGTCCTTCTAGGTAAGACAGCATGTGGAGCCCCTCCAGCAAGTCAAAAATTAAAACCCAAAAACTACAAAAATAGGCCTATTTTATAGTCAAATTAGATTCCCAGTATTATGCACGAGGTCATGCATTTATAGGCGTGTTTATTTTCGGTGTCGCAAGCTATCCACTTATAATGTCAGTTTGAGTACTTTTTACTCCAGAGACAAAAAACTAGATTTTGTTGTGTTTTTCCTATCATTAATCATAAAATCCAGAAAATTGTAAGCCTTGACCTTAGCATTAAACTGAATTTTGGTGATGTTGAAAGGTGCATCTTTGAGAGAGCTGTGGGAGAGTGTAAAAATCGAACATTATCAAAATTTGACTTAAGTGGATTTTTTTGTGACAGCGACGATATATATGTTTATATATGGTATAATACTTTCCTCTCTTCCCAGCCGGTGCTTGAGCTGCTGAGACAACAGCTAGCAGGTTCTCATAGCCAAATGAGCAGCCGAGAGAGAAATGTGGCCAAGAGGAAGGCGAGGAGCCTCTCCAAACAAATTTCAAGGTGAGCATTGCGCATCTGTTGGAATGGTTTCTTCCATTAAAATTTTTAGATGCTGTTGTTTCCAGTATGTAGCAGGATAGAATTTATTGACGCACCTCCTATAAAAGAATACATGAAATACATTGGTATCATGTATTTAAGTCCAGCATCTATTTCTTTGGCTTTTGACACATGAAGCAATCAGTTACAGTCTCACATCTCTGTTCTGCTATCTTGCGCCACCAGGCTGAGTCATCTGATTTTTATCTGACTGTTAGTACTGTAGGAGACTTTAAAAGTAAATGAGAAAGAACATAGAGATTTATAGTATAGTTCCTAAGGCTTTGGATGAGAAGAATTTTGTGCATTTGTTTAGTGTTTCTTATTGTATATATATATTACATTTTAAAGTATGAGTTCGTCAACTTTTTCTGACTTTAAAATGGAACTGAATGTCTTTGCTATTTACTACTTTGTATTGAAACAAATTTTAAGATTATAGGATGTGTTCTTCTTTCTATGCACTGTTAAAATATTTCGAGTCTTAAGTGTGTTAATAAAATTGACAAATACTTTTCTTCTCAAAGCAATAACAATGGTTCTGAAGAGCCGAATCCTGTCAAGAGAATGAAGAGAGAACGTTCAACTGGGTCACTAGATTCTGCTGAATCAGCATCGCTTACTGAAGAGGTAGGAATACGGTTATCTTCTCATTTTGGCCAGTTATTATTTTTATTGTTTGCTTCCACACCAACTAGCTTTTGAACTTTACTTTCTCCTGCTTTCAGTCACAATGTGGACTATAATATTGACCTCTATAATTTGCTAATTTGTTGATCATGGTGGGATTTATTTATGCTTACTTTTTATCAAGAAAGTTGATGATTTTTTTGGGGGGGGTGGTTTTTATGTTTTTGTTTTTTCTTTTAAAGGATTTGTGTTGTGACTGGTTTCTTACTGATAAATTTAAGCCTGCTTAAAACGGATATTCAGTGCTGGTGTTGAGGTTTCTCCACTTTTAGTAAAGTGTTTTAGACTGAAGACCTCAGAAGAATACGTACCGAGGATGGGCACTCTCTGGTTTTTATTTTGTGAACTCTAGATGTGTGTTTATTGCTGTGGGGAAAAAAAAAAGATATCCCGAAGGCAGGCATATACTGAAGAGTTATTAAGATTTCTGTCGAGTGCTTGCTGTAGCAACCTTGCAGTGAAAATGAAGAAGTTGTTTTAGAAAGGTATCTGCATCCTTAACATTCTCTAGCCTCTATGGTCTTCTAGGGTAATAATATAGATTTTAAAACGCAAAAGGCTTGCTCATGACCAGGGATTTGAGGGACATGTGGTATACTATTTTTATTATTGTTAATATTATTATAATCCACAATACCCAAAAGGGTATAAGTATAAGCGGCGGATAAAAGTAATAAAAATAAAATAATTATTATTAATATTATTATAAGGCCTATTATTATTATTATTATTATTATTATTATTATTATTATTATTATCATCATCATCATCATCATCATCATCATCATCATCATCATCATCATCATCATCACCAACATCATCATCATTATTATTATCATTAGTCATGATATATATATTCTAAAGCCCATTGACCAGGCATATGAGGGATATGATGTGCTATGCTATTATTATTATTATTATTATTTATCATTACTACTACTACTACTACTATTATTATTATTATTATTATTACTAGTATTATTACTATTATTATTGAATTATCATAATCTATTTTGCTTGGTGCGACGTGTTGAAAGATAACCAATTGTTCCCTCTGCAGCCTGACGACTGGCCCTTTCAGAATTTCTGTGAGGTTCTGATGAATGACTTGTTCCATAGCAGTTGGGAGATCAGACACGGGGCTGCTTCTGGTCTCAGGGAGGTGGTGAAAGTGCACGGCAGAGGGGCTGGCCGGGCAGCAGACATTCCAAGCAATCAGGTCAGAATCCTGGTGTTTTTTTTGTTTGTTTTTTTAAAGACCCAGTACACTCTGCACAACTTTTTGTTAAACTGCTGTTCGAAATGGTTTGGTACATTTGAATGGGGTTAGATTTTCCCTTGCTGAGTGCAAAAGCTACCATTTGACACCATTTGAAGTAGGTTAAAATCTTCACAGTCAAATGCAAGGATTTCTAAAAGGATTTACTGGTGGTTATGTTTGATGGAAAGTGGAAAATTGTGGTCAAAAGGGAATCAGAAGGCTACCTAGTGTCTCATTACATTGAGGGGTCAGAACTTTTGTAAGCATGCATAATGTAATATGGCATAATAGACATGCTGGTCAAATTTGAGAATATGTAGTATGCGCTGGTGAGCTTCATTTCCTCAGCCGCATCAATCTGATCAGATAATGCATGTGAGGTCCCTTTAATGGATGACCATCTGTTTTTACGCTTCGCCTGTGATAATCATCCATACTTTTGCCATCTTATGTTTTTTTGGTTTTTTTTACACATAGATAAAAAGGGAGGTGGAGAAGACAACAGTGGCATGACTTTTCAGTAACCGAAAACTTTTACAATGATCTGAGTGTCACGTGTAATTATAATTATATGGTTGCAGACCAGTACGGAAGTCTGTCTTCGTATTGGAAAAATGCATATTCTCTGTTTTTTAGCGATGCTCCTCAGGGAACTTGCTGATGCTGAAGAAAATTTCTGAACTTTCAAAATAGGGTTTACGAATAATAATGAGAACAAAGCTCATAAGTCAGCTGGAGAGATCTGCATGTCTATTTTGAAAAGCTTTAATTCATTAAATGCTGTAAATTATGTAATATGTCTTAGTGGGGGGGTACTAGGCCAATTGCCACCATTTTGACCTGCTGCGTGAGTACAGTCTGTTTTAGATTTTGAAAAGTTGTCAGCTGTGCATGGGCTTCTTCAAACCCAAAGGTGATTTGCAGATTGATGCACGCAAGAGGTGTTAAGCCATTCCTCCAGCAGACTCAGTTTTGCTCTTTTTATACAACTAGTGCTGTAGGGTGCTTTATGTCTTGTATTTTCTTGGTGTTCGTATTGACTGCCTCTTAGATTTCAAGCATGTACAGTTTTCTTTGGGTAAACCACGAAAAATGATCTTGAATTTTGAGTAAGTTTTTTTTTGTTGTTTGTTTTTTGTTGTTTTGTTTTTTTTATTTCTCATGATGGAACGCATAAAATGCCCATATGTGAAATTATACAAAGTGCTGAGTCTACATATATATCCTTATTAAATTATTTCAAAGCACTTGGTGCCAACCAATCTTTCGACTTTTCAGGGCACATGTCCGTGTGAAATTGATTGTGCTGAATTATAGAGCAGTTCATAAGTAATTCAATTTTTGTTGTTGTTCTTTTTCTTTCTTTCATAGCTGCAGACAGTTAACCAGGTCTGGCTCTCAGATTTGTCTGTGCGACTCTTGTGTGTGTTAGCACTGGACAAATTTGGTGACTTTGTCTCGGATGAGGTAATCTATTCTCTTAAGTTTTTAATCATTCTCGTTTTTATGAACCCCGTTTTCAAAAGTTTTTGTTCCTCACCTTTTCGCAGATGTTTTTGAAAATGAAACAGTAGGCTTTGTTACACATTGCATGTGATCCTTGCTCTCACTCTTTCACTTTCCAAGCTCTTAACACACTGTGACAACTATCTGCTGAAATTTTCTAGTTTCTCTCTCTCTCTCTCTCTCTCTCTCTCTCTCTCTCTCTCTCTCTCTCTCTCGTTCTCTCTCGTTCTCTCTCGTTCTCTCTCTCTCTCTCTCTCTCTCTCTCTCTCTCTCTCTCTCTCTCTCTCGTTCTCTCTCTCTCTCTCTCTCTCTCTCTCTCTCTCTCTCTCTGTCTCTCTCTCTCTCTCTCTCTCTCTTTCTCTCTCTCTCGTGTGAGGTTTCGGGTTTCAGGGGTTAGAGCCGTGGGCCCGACGTTGTGTCCTTGGGAAAGGCACTTAACACAAATTTTCCTCACTTCACCCAGATGGGAATGAGTACCCGGCCCGAGACTGTGAAAGATCTTGCCTGTATGTTAGTGTTTTAGCACCTATAAATGGCTGCTTGCACTGTATGCTTCCCAGAAAGTTGAGGTTGTTTCAGAATGCTCTCAGGTCGACTGGAGTAATAGTATAGGTTGTGAAACGCATAGAGCTTGCTGTTGAGCGGGGATTAGCGCTTTACAAACAAATGCTATCTATTATTATTATTGTTATTATTATTATGTCCAGGTGGTGGCCCCAGTGAGAGAGACGTGTGCACAGACTCTGGGTGCGGTGCTGAAGTACATGGACGAGCCGTCGGTGTCCAGCGTGGTGGACATTTCCCTGCAGCTCCTGGCCCAGTCACAGTGGGAGGTCCGGCACGGAGCCCTGCTCAGCCTCAAGTACATTCTTGCTGTGAGAAAGGTAAGCCAAAGTAATAAAATTATTCACAAATACGTTTCTTCTCATGGCAAAAACAGATTGCCTTTTGTCTGCAAACAACTGTGAATAAGAAAAAGGCATTCTGTTAGCGTACGGCAGCCCTGAGATCTTGCAGGCGAAAGTAAAGAAGAAGGAGCAAGGTAAGAAAGTTCCTACGCAGTGCTGTCTGATGCTGAATCCCTTCAACCCTTTCCTGACCAGCGTTTATGGTGCAGCGGTTAGTCTCTTCATCATCACATGCAGGAGACCTAAGTTTGATTCCTGAGTAGGGATGGTTTTTTATTGAGGTTTTATAATTAGGGGTTTATTTTTGAAAGAATACTTATACTTTTTATCACTAATGACATGTCACTGTACAGCTGTACAGGCAATTCTGACGCAGATAAATGTTTTCTTTGATTAAGGTTAATTTTGGTTAAAGTTTTACGGCACTTGCAATACTACAAATAAGTTAGGTTAGTGCAGAAGATTAGAGGTGTTGCTAGAAGTAATATACAAAAAAAATGGATAAGGACAAGAGTTATTTGAAAAGAAAGAAGGATGAGCAAGGCACACTAGAGCACTTGTTGCCAACCTCCCACTGAGGTAAATGTTAATTAAACTGAGTTTTTTTGGGTTTTTTTCTCTTTCAGGATATGACGTCCAAGCTACTGCCTCTGGTTCTGTCGTCCATCTTGGCAGGCCTCCAAGACCCGGATGATGACGTGCGAGCTGTAGCTGCCGCGGCGCTCATTCCCGTGACTGATGCCCTCGTCCAGTGTTTGCACTCACAAGTATGTCACGTTTTTTCTTTTTAGCTCATTTAGCCCGAAATTGATTTCCACGATTTGACCTAATTGGTTTTTTTTGGGGGGGGTTTTGCTTGGGGGGGGGGGTTGTTTTTTTCTTAATATTTTTTTTTTTGCAGCTAGACCTAACTGATGCTCTACTACTTTACCAACATGTCCTTCAACTCAAGATAAAGCATGAACAAGAACACAATGACAAAGGGGAATAGCTTTCCTCCCTTAGACACCCCCCGGGGCGGTGCTACTTACTGAAGCGTCTTTAGGTCATTCCCAAAGGGGGGACATTAACATGTTCTTATGCTCAGTAGAATTGTTAATAGGCTGATTCATCAATGTCATGCTCATAACTGTGCCTGAACTGCATACGCGGAACTGCTGCTTTTTCTTTCCTTATCTTAATTATCTTCATTTTTCCCCTACTTCTTTCTTTTGTATGTTTGTCACTCTCTTGTGACCCGCTATTTCCAGGGTACCTTGATAGTCAAAGGAGACTTTGTGCTGTTGAAGCTATTGAAGTGAACAAAGTAAGCCTGTTTCCCTGTTTGGACTTCTCTGTAAACCCCTTGGCGCTCATATGACCTTATGCAGTTGTGTGTGCCATAAAAACTCTACTAAATAGAGAAACTTCAATTCATTTAAATGAAAAATTCTTGTGTACCTGCTTACATCACGCCTGCTGCAGGGGGCGGCTTTGTGTTTTACGGCACCAGCCAGTGCATAAGGTCTTATGCGTGCACAGGACACAATAGGCATTTTCAGTTTGATAGAAATTAATTTTGAATTTTGCCCCGTTGATGGCTGAAGCCTACTCTTATCGATTTAATGACCACCAAGGTATCTCTAATGTGCAGGTGCACACGGGACCTCCAAGATTTTTCGCCTTTATCTGAGAAGCTTGGTGTAAGATCTTACCTAATATTAGATCAAGGATGTGGCTGAAAGGCAGCTGTAAGAAGGAGCCAAGGAGTAGCGTAGAAAGACAGCAGCAGAAAGAGCCAGAAGCTCAGAGGAGGGGGCAAAGGGGTGGGAGGGGGGAGGAAGCAGAATGTGGAGACAAAAGCAGACGACAGAAGGTGAGAAGAGAGCGGAAAAAGTGAGAGGAGAAAACTTTTGTGGAGAAGAAGATTTTTCATTGCTATCAGGTTTCAAATCCGGGACATATTGAATTGGAGGCTAACACAGTACCTCTAGACCACGAGAGCCCCCGAAGAAGCTTTGGCGCTTGGGCCGGCTGCTCAGGTTTAATGAGTGAACAAAGTCATCAGTTAATGCTTATTTTAAATAAACTGCCAAGGTTAAAAACCAAGTCTTTAAAGTCCCCTGTAGACATTTCTGTGCTGATGTCAACTAAACTTATACTACACCACAATACTTCAGTACCTTTGTACTTTTGCTTTTGGATGATCAAGGATGATAAATAAATAAAATAGACCCACTGCCCACAACTGTCCGATTTATTTCTTTTGGAGGTGGAAAAACCCTCATGAACATCTATGCTCAAGTGGCTTTTACTTTGATGTATACTTATATATATTTTGACTTTCAAAATGACTTTTAATATGGGAATAGTAAGGTGTTAAACTCTCCAGAAAAAACAAAACGAAACCCCACAAAAACCATCCATCCAGTCAAGAATATTTTTTTTTCTTGCCTTGTTTTTCCTGAAGGTGCCAGAAATTTTGCTGTGCTTGTGGGATACACTGGCCGATCTTGACGATCTCACAGCTTCTACCAACAGCATTATGATTCTCCTGGCCAAGCTCATGTCGCATCCAGTGACCAAGTCTTCCTCATTGTAAGAAAAATATAGCCAGTTTTTGGTTTGTCGTTTTACAATATTATACAGTTTCAGCATATAATATTTTTTAAAATACAAAGGGGAAAGTGGGGAGTGGTTGTTTGTACAGATGATTGTCCTGGACAGGTCGCTGTTAGAGTAGGTGTGACTGTATATCATGAAATTATATCATTCTTCCCCAACATCTGAGGGGAAAAAACTATTGTGTTGACTAGAGTATGATCCAAAGCTACCTGCTCTGCCCTGCTAGTAAAATTGCAGCAAGTTGCCGTTAAATTACAATTTAAATCACAATTAATTATATTTGGTATGATATGTTTGACTTCAGTAGAATGGAGGGACTATGGATGGAGATGAATATTATTGTAAGTTACTTCCCATTCTGCCAATCAAAAAATATATATATATGTGTTTTTTTAATGATGGTCCTCTTAGACAGGCGGTCGTCTCACGCAGTGTCATTATAATATTTAAAAAAATGTAAAGGGGTAAAAGAGAAGTGATCATTTTTACAGGTGATTGTCTTATACAGGTGGCTATCAGAACATGCTTGACTGTACTTTACTTTTACCTGATTTGGTTTTTACTATACTTTGTGAATCAATGAAGGTTTTTGATTTTATTTTAAAATTTTTTTTATTTCAGTATGACAGCATCCTTGACAGCACTCACCCCTCGGCTGTGGCCTTTTCTTCGACACAACATTATGTCTGTGCGAAAGGCAGCTCTGGAAACACTGCTGACCTTACTCAACTTGCATGATATGGATGTGAGTGTCTATCATTTCAAGATATACTTGGTTTCATGGGGATGGGTGCTGGGGTTGTGCACTTGAGGGCTGATCATTTTTTTGTTGCGTGTTTTCACTGTTGAAAATCATAATAGAGTCGAAGCTGTCTAAGACAGCCAAACATTGTCGAGGTGAAACGTGGCCATCCTAGATAGGCGATATTCTGGTGTAAAAGATACACAAGGGAGGAACTGGGAAATAGCCATTTTTACAGGTGATTGTCTTATTCAGGTGGCTGTTAAAGCAGGTTTGACTGTATGTCAAAGAGATCTACCTGTGAAATGGCCTAAATCATAATAATATGTTTGTTCATGTATTTGACCAAACCATTTCTTTGAATTATTTTCATCTCCTTGCATTAACCTTGCAGACAACAAGCAAGTGGTTATTCCCCATCTGCCAAGACGCAGTTCGACACATCTACCAAAGAGGACTGCTGGAGGAGAAGGCTGAGCTTTTGCCTCTGATCGTCAGGGTGTGGGAGGCATTACTACGCAGCGCCATGTTGGAGCAGTTGGTCATTATTTCTGTGCCTTGGCTCGGTGTATGGATGGCTTTCCTTATGCAGCCAGCCAGAGTGCCATATGATCCTACTCTCTTAATTGAGGCTAAGCACAAACCACGAGTACGTTATTGTTTCCATTTTGTGTGGCATATGGACTGCTCGTTGTCTGTTTATGTCTCGCCTAACTTATTTATTGTAGAACTCTAAGAATGTATGTCTCTAAAATGATTGTTTTGCAGTAAGTATTTAACACTTACAGTACTAAATGCTCATATAGGGAAAAGCCCTCAAGTACCGCAACAGTTTGGAACGCTGAAACCGTGGTATAATTTGATTTTATTTGAAAAACTTCGGCGTCCAAAGAAACATGCAGTGAAAATTCAAAGAGGCTCATCATAAAGTGAATTCCTTTGATATTTACTTCAGTGGAGTGCGTCCATTCGTTGCTTAATTATGTTTAGTGTGCCTGGTTGCGTCGGAGATTAAAGTCGCCAGAGGTAGTGAGCGCATACTGAGGCCTAGCGACTAAAGACGCCAATGGTACTGTAAGGATTAGTGCAGTCAAACCCGTTGGAGGCGACCACTCATTGTTGAAGAGAAAAGTGGTCATCTTAGGTAGGTGGTCCTCTTGGCCAGTGTCATGATGATATGGAAACAAAATAAAAAGGGGGGAGTCGCAAAGTGGTCATTTGGACAAGTGATTGTCTTTTACAGGTGATTGTAGAACAGGTTTAAACGTATTTGTTTTGTTCTTGTGGATTGTGGAATAAAAGAGGAATTGTTTTTAGAAAATCTATTGTTTGTTGGTTAGGAATTGTTAATGTCTGTTTTCACGACATTCTCGACACAAAACTATTGTTACTGTTTTAATATTTGTCATTAAACGCGGACGAAGCAGTTCAATACAAATGGATCAACCAGTTTTTCCATTGATTTTCTGTAGGAAAATGCTGCTGTGAAAGTAAGGTTTCAAGGGGAGGCAAGAACACCAGTGCAAGGTCTCAAAAATTACATCGGAGGATGTGATGGAACGTCTGGAAATGCTGCTGAAAAAGAGGCTGCTGTGTACAGGGCCAGAGTTTGTGGGGCCAGGTAAACTTCCACATTTTTCTTGTGTTCTTTTTTTACTATATTTATGTAATTTTATTTTATGTCTTTTCATTAAAAAATATTAGTCATTGCCAGATTTTCTAGGGTCGGACTTTTGATTAATAGTTAATTCTTTCATTGATATATTTTTTTGGGTCATTACTTTTGTTTGCTGCAGTACATTGACTTTTGTTTTGACTGTCTTTTTTGTTTGTGCATGCACATGGCCCCTTTCATCTGTGAAAAAAGGATGTGTATTCATCTTTAATGTTGTGCTTATTAACTATTAGGCCTGGTTTAATCAGGGTGTCTTTGCAAGATGTAATCCCCTGTGAGTGTCGTCCGTATACCTATCTTTAGTACGCTCTCATACTTTTGTTTTATCTTTTCTTTTCATAAAATCTCACCTTCTCTTCAGACTGTTTGGTATCCTCGCAAATTACTTGTGTAAGCCATTGCCGAACCAGCCCCCTGAGATGGAGCCACCGGCTGTTGCTCTCGGAAAGCTGTTAATGTTTCATCTGAGTGGCAAGAGTGCAGTTCAAAGATTTGTTGTTGGACAAGCAATCTACTTTTGGGCCGTTCAGCAAAAAGTGAGTGCTAGTACGTCCATGGTTCATAAATGACTTTCTGTTATAAAGTTTCTGTTATAAAGCAGGATGTTGTTTAATTTGTTTTCCTATAAAAAGATATTGCCGATGACCACATTCTTGTTGCTGTGTTGTCTTCAGAAATTCTTTTCCCCCTTGTGTGTGATCTACCGTAAGCTGACAAAACGCCTTTTTTTCCCTTCATAGCAGTTTCAAGAAAAAGAGTTTTTTTGTCAGTATAACCTTTGAAAAATAGTCGTTCTGAAATTTGAATTTGAATTTATTCAAAAACTGGTTACAGTTTCAATTTGATTGTTTCACTCAAGAATGGTAATTGATCAGGCTGTTGATTCAGCACATAAAAAAGATTGTCATCAAAATACAAAAAAAGTGTTTTGTCAGCTTACGGCAGTGATCATCTGGCTAGAAAAAGAAGTTGAGTTCAAAACCTTGTGCGAGTGTCAGGAACACATTTACTTACCATCAGCAGGCCCATCTCTAGCTAAGGCTCCAGGAAAACGGGCAAACCTGAGAGAGGTGTTAAATCTAACAGGGTGTTTTTAATATTTGTACTCTGGAAGCTTGAAAGTAGATTATTGTGGACTAGAACATTTGAAGTGTCACGGTCATATAAATTGCTACACTATCATCATCGTCATTATCATTATCATCACCATCCTCATCATCATAATAATAATCATCATCATCATCATCCCAGAGTGCCTTAGCAAGATGGAATCACCTGTGAGTGTCACTGGTATACCTATCTTCTGTACATTTTCACACTTCGTTTATCCTACTTCCTTCTTTTTCTAATCTTTTTTTTCCATGCGTCATAGAAATGACAACTTATTTTGAACTTTGTTTTACCCTTTTAATAAGTTATATTCCTGTACATTCTGTTGCAGCCCTGCCCTTGCCCAGACGATGTGAAGGCACAGCTCTTGAATTGCCTGGGGGAACTGATCTACTTTGATGAAATTGCTTATTCCTTCACACGTATGCAGAGTGACTGTCAAGATTTTCTCGCATCCCTAAAACAGAATGGTGTCAACTTGGATACCTTTTATCCTCCAGGGTATGAAAACCTTTTTTTTGTATGCATACCTGACATAATATTCTCTAAAAAATTAGAATTTGTCTTTATTTCTTGAGAGGATTTTTTGTTGTTGTGGTTTTCAGTTCAAAATGCCCCACTTGGTTTTGGATAAGAACTCACTTTTTTAAAATTTACCATCAGAACATATGCAACTGATTTGAACCCACTTAGAAACACGCTTTGTTATGGTGGACAATGCAAAGTTCAATATTGTCTGCACCTGTTTCAGTCCTACTTGAGTCTTGAAATGCTGTGTGAGCAGCCAGTTTTGTATTTGGGGGGGGAAGTTCACATCAATCAATTTATAATATGATCTTATTATTCTTCAGTTTAATGACCCCTTTCTATCCCTAAACAACTTTTTGGGGGAGAATTCTGAGAAGTTCCGCTATTTCGGGGCTTCTCGTGATCTTGATGGTCGTTTTTGTCAACAGCAGATGTAACGTTAAGCTTTATTGAAGGGTCAGATACTGTTACAATATATGAGGCAGCGTGGTGGAATCAGGCTCTCGTCAATTTTTGGACATGTAGAGTTATTGGTATCATCTTAAAGCTTGTTCACTTGTCTTTATTTGGTTGAAAAAAATATCAATTTATCTTGAATACAAGTCGAGATATTTGTGAATGAAGAAGGTGGGGGTCACCTGTTTTCAGAGATAAAATTAGTGAAAAAATGTTCGCCAAAGATTTGTTATTTCCTTAGCTTAAGACTTCGTGGTAACTGAAAATGTATATTTTTTGTGCCTTAATCAACGTTTTTCAGAGAAATCCTCACCGAAATGAGTTCTTTTATGGGCATGAAAGGTGTTGAGCCAAAAAACAAAAATTTGATAAAAATTCAGAAACCTGCGGACAAATGCAACTTTCTTCACTTTGATTATTTTGACGAGAGCCTGATTCCACCACGCTGCCTCACATATAGCTTAAACATTTGACAGCTTCCATTTTTAGTTTCTTACTTGTCAAGAGTTACCAAAGAGTGGGGAAATCACAGTGGCTTTCTATTGTCTTACAGCTAAATCCTTTTTTACTTTTTACTTTGGCATATTCTTTCTGAGTGTTACAATTAAACACTGACAATATACCACTTTTAGATTTATTTTAATGACTTTTGCTTATGTTTTCATGGTGTCACAACTCTCTAAAGGTGTTCTTTTCATATATTTGCATCGTTTTACATTTAAGACTGAGTAGCTCACCATATAAAGCTGTCTTAGATTTTATTCAAGCTTAGATTGCTGTGAAGATTTACAGTCTTAAATAATAAAACTATTTACATACTTTTACACTTTATTTATGAAATTGTTCATGATAACACTGTACTGTTTTGTATGTCAAGACAATTGCTCACACTGGAGTCGGCCCAGAACCTCATCTCTGTGACGTATAAAGAAGTGCGTAGCTCGTTGAAGCCCCAAGTGGTGGCGAGGTTTGATGACAGGCAGAAACAGCTGCAGACTTCTGTTCAGCAGACATCACAGGATCAGCAGATGTTTAGCGTCAGGTAGGTGGGATCTTTTTATTGTTTTGTTGGTTGTTGTTTATGTTTTGTTTTGTTTTGTTTTGTTTTTGTTTTGCAATATGCTATTGTTTTTGACACAATCATGTAAGTGATCTCAAAGGAAGGACTCTTGGTACTTTGAAAGGACTTCTTATCCCCGCATGTAAAATACTCTTTTTTTTCTTTCAGGTTTATTTTTTAAATGAAGATGTAACTCATTCAGTGTTGGTATAAGTGTAGATGCATATATCAGGCATGTTTTTGAGATCATTCTCAAAATGTCAACATTTTAAAAACTTTGGTGCACCGGAGAGTGAGACCCCATTCCCAACCCGGCCCGCCTGAGACAAAGTGCGCATTGAAAACAATGTTTACTACACAAGACAATATTGGTCATTTTGAACATCTTTCTGAGTTAGATGCTGGTATTTACTGACTATCCTAAGTGGGACTTGAATGTGATTCTGATGATCACATGAATGTTAGTAATATATTGCTCTGGAGCTCAGGCAGAGAGGCACAGTAGCCTCAGGAGGTCAGGGCTCAAAGGGTTAATATGTTTTTACTATTGGTCAGTGTCAAGATTTTTGACATTTCTTCAGTATTTTACAATAAAAATGCTATCAGAGCAATTTCTCTAGTCACAATGATTTTCACATCACATGAAGCAAATAGAGCAGCTTTCAGTAACATTATTAACTGATAGACTGTTGAACTATATTGTCATATATATATTATTCTCTGAGTGGTCATAGACCTGCTTGCTGTGAATGTACTTAGTTACATGTACCCCTCAGTTGTAAGTATTGTATAACATTGTGGCAGAATAAGGGCCGGTACTCACCATCTATTCTGGGAATATTATTGGTGTAATGAAAAAGGGTGTGGATAGAAAACATTCAAGTCTGATTTTTATTTGTGTGCTTTATTGTTGCTTTTGTCTTTTAGAAACTGGATAGTATCAATATTTTCTGGATTTGAAACTCATGATAACTTGAGGCTGCTGTATTGAGAAAAACAACCTAGTGTCAAAATTTGACAGAATAAACTCGCATCAATATTTATTAAATGAAACTGTATCAAAACTATCGTCCAGGTTCACCAAAATTTCTCATTGTCCTTGAGATTTTTTTATGCTGAATTGTCGTTTTCTGTTTCTTCAGAGTGCTGTGCAGCCTTGCCATGGCTGTTGTGGCTCTTGACGCTCTTCCAGAGAAACTGAACCCTGTTGTGAGGCCCTTGATGGATGTGATTAAGAAGGAAGAGAATGAAGCTTTACAGGTAGTTTATGTCTCATATGTGTCGCAACACAGTGCAGTCAGACGCTTGTTAATTTTTGGGCACATGGGATTTGTTGGTATCATCTTAAAGCCTCTTTATTTCTCTTATCTTTGATGAAAAAGTACCCATCTATCCTGGATAGAAGTCGAGATATCTGCGATTGAAGGTGTTAGGGGGCTTGCTTGGTGTTAGAGGTAAAAAAGTAACAATAAAATGGCCAGCAACTTCTGGTGACTTTCAAAGCTTGAATGTCTTTTTTGTACTTTTGATCAACATTGTTCAGTAAAATTCCTACAGAAATGTGTTTTTAAAGGAACATAAAAGATGATCAGTCCGCAAAACAAAAAATACCAATGAAAATTACCCAGTGGATGTTGAATGACTGTTATATGAGAATGCCCTTTTTACTGTTGTTTTGACATGTGTGTATTCTCTTAGGAAGAGGCAGCCTCATGTCTTGCCCAGCTCATCAAAGCCTGTATCAGCAGAGATCCCAACCCGAACAGTAAAATTGTGAAAAATCTGTGCAACTTCTTGTGTGTGGATCCGTCAGTTACGCCAAATGTGGACAACCCCTCTCCGCAGACTGACCAAAGTAACATTTTTGTTTGATTTTCTTTAGGATGACTTTTGTTATCTGGAAAAGTGAAAAGATTTTTCTTTGATTTTGATGACTATAATGACATTTATATCTCGTCAAAATTTGCTGTATGGTTTTGTGAAATTTGTCCTATTTATTGCAATCTTACACCGTTGCATTGTTTTCTGTCTTCAGTTTTGTTCTATTCTGAAAGCTTTTTAAATGTATAAAATGTTCTTGAAGTACGAAATGTTTTAGTACTATTCATACACATGTCTTTAAGAATGCTTTTAAAAAAAAGCGCCTTTTTCTTTCTCTTGCATTCTTTTACTACATGTTGGTTGTTACTGGGTGTTCTTGTGTGGTTTGCAGCAAGCTCTGATAGCATTCTAAGACAATCTCAACTTCCTGGAAAGCATACAGCGCAAGCTGCCATTTATATATTTGCTAAAACACTAGCATACTGACGTTATTCTTGTTAGCAATTGTTCCTTTATAGTGTATGTGTATGTGGTGAAACAGAAAAACCAATGTGCTAGTGTCTGGATAATAAAGATTATGAATCTAATCTGAATCTTTTCTGCTGCTATTTACTTGCAGATGATCAAGCACATCACGAAGTGTCCTGCTCCATGACGAGGGGTATCTTGACTCTGTCCAACCTCCAGAAAGTAAGTGTCGTCAGCGGCGGGTGGTTAATAGCGCCTGCAGTGTCGTCCGTCCCTGACAAAACATGATCTTCTTTTCTCTCTCAACATTTCGCTACTTCAGAGGTACAAAGTTTTGTTTGCTCAGTAAGTAATTTTGAGAAATTTGACATCAAAGATTTTGAGTTTCAAGCTTTTTTGAATGCATTTCTTTAAAACCTTGATAACGATTCCAAGTAATCTTACAATTTTGATAGAGCAGATAGAACATTTGTTTTTTGATCTCTTGGTGTCAGTAACTTAAAACGGCTAAAAATGTCAGATAGCATTTTGTAATTCTGTGGTAGCGATTTATCTTCCTTGTCTCTCCTCCTCTTTTTTTTTTTTTGCACGGTATTATCTTGTAACACCTTTAATCTTTGGCACTTATATCACCTATTTGTGTTGCAAGTGCCTTGAAAATCTTACTAAAATAAAATGTGACCCCTGTTGTGTTGACTGACCCTATGTTATGGCGTTTCTTGAATGTTTTGCTTCCTTCTGGGTGATTAAGAATCATATGACCTGAGAGAGAGAAATGAGGTAAGGAGAGTTGGGGGGGGAGTGTCATGGGTTGGGAGAAGAGAGCTTTAAAATACAGAGTGGTGGACAGGAACAGGGAGATATTCATATTTCATGTCTTCTCTGAAAAATTATTATTTAGAAGTTATTCAGTAATAAGCATCTTGATGAAGCCTGTGTGTTTATTGTGAAAAATAGATGAAAAACTGTGTAAAACTGTAAATAATAAGAAACTGAGAGGGCCACTTCTGTATGAAGTGAAATAGTATTGGTAAAGTTATTTTGTGGAACTCCACTTGATTTATTCTTTATTTGTGTTGTATTGTACCACCTCCCACCAAGAATCGTCATGGCTGTTTGTATATTTAATTTGCTTTAATTTGTTGGACGATGTAACAGTGACATATCTTTTCTGTGTTCCAAAAACATTTGCATCCTGATATTTTTGTTCAAATTATAACATGGTACTTTTTTTTGGATTGCACTAATTGTTTACTTCTTTTCTTGGTTAGCGGATGCTCTGGTGTGGTTTTCTTCTTCTTTCCTATCAAACCTCTATCATCCTTATCTCCCCTTCTTCTTTTTTGTTTGTTAATCTTTTGTAACACCTCTAATCTTCTGGCGCTCATATGACCTTATGCAGTTGCGAGCGCCGTAAAACCTCTGCTAAAACTAAAAACTTTTCTTCACAGGTCAGTGATCAAAGTATACGAAGGCGTATGAGGAGAAGTCTAGTTCTTAAAGGAGATGCGAATGTGTCAGAAGCTGCTGTGAAGTTGGAAGCCGATGCCACTCAGGCAAGAACAGAACAATTAGAAGTAAGTAGCTCTGTGATTTTGTACATGGGTGAAAATATCTGATGTTAGTACGTATAGTGGAACCTGCTCTAATAGCTGACAGCTGTAAAAATATGATGAAATATAGAAAAGATTTTATTCTGTTCAGCAAAATCCCCCCCCCCCCCCTGGTGTTCTTTGGATGGTCTGAACCCTAACTCAATGACAGTGTCTCGCAACCATAATTGCGTCGCAGGAAGTTACAGGAGCCTACGGGTCACTGTCATAATTATGACAGGCTTGTTATACTTTTTTACACCTTTGTTAGGGGGAGGAAGGGAACAATGAATGCAGTGTGTTCGCCTTTCTTATCCAGTTTCATTTTAAGTTGTCTGATCTTTGAGTTAAGAAAACTATGAGGTGTATACTTCTTTTTGTTAGAGAATTTTTTTAATTGTTTAATTTGTTGGTTGTATTTTTTTATTTTTTAAAAAATTGCAGCTCCAAAAACAATATAGCATACAAAGACAAGGAGCTGAGACTGCTCTCACTGTGCTGTGTAAATGCTTCGACTCCGAGCTTCCAGAAAAACTGCCATCTCTGTGGAGTTTATGCGTTGACACCGTTAAGCAATTTGATACTGAAAGCAAAGGTGAGTGTTAATGAAATTGATAATGAGAATTTTCCACCAGTTCTCCTTTCAGTGAAGCCTGTAGTATTTTTATTCTGGATCCCGAATGGAATGCTCCTATTTAAATCATATTTTGGAAGTGCCCTGTCCCACGATGTCCAACAATGGATACTGTAGATATCTGTTTTAGTTATAGGGTCCTAGTATGGTGATGTATGTTAAGTAGAGAAAATAAAATTACATACTGTCACTCCTGACAACCTGAAAGATGACAGATGTTAAAATATGATGAAAAATAGAAAAGATTTTATTCTGTTTAGCAAAAAAATCCCCCCCCCCCCCCCCCCCCCCGAATTATTTTAAAACAAAAATCTCTTTTAAAGGTAAATGCAGTTATGTCACTTGAATTTCTGTTTTATGTTGTTTATATTTCTGTAACAATGTTTCATGAATTTATTCCAGAGCCTGCCAGTGATGCTGAGAAAGATGATAATGCCAAATTACAAGGCTTTGTGAATAGCCTGCAAGCAATTGAAACTGTTGTCCCTGCACTACATTCGACCTTGTTGCCTTCAGTGAGTAATTATTCTAAAGTATTAGAGAGGGTTCTTGTGGTCTAGAAATTACGGTGTTTGCCTCTCATCCAGGTTTGAAACCAGAGACGGAAAGAAATTTCTTCTCTAAAATTTGTTCCTTTCACTCCCTTCCCAGCTCTCTAACCATGTTGTGTCGTGTGCTTTTATCTCCACTTTCTGCCCCACCCCCTTTTGCCCCTCCTCTGGGCTCCTGACTCATTCTGCAGCCTTTCTACTGCTACTTCTTGGCTCCTTTTTACAGCTGTCTTTCGGTCCCACCCCTGATCTTAGGGTAGGTGGGATGTAACACTTAACGTCCTCATATAAGTGCGGAAAATCTTGGAGGTCGCGTGTGCAAGTTGCACTCATTAAAGATCCCTTGGTGGCACAAAATAGATAAGAGTAGGCATCGGTCACCACCCAAGCGAAATTCAAAATTAATTCCTACCAAAGTAATAATGACCTTATGCAGTTGCATGCGCCGTAAAACAGTTGCCAAAACGATCTGATTTTTCTTGAGCAGTTAACGTTCGTGGTATTGTGTCCGTACACAGATGTTTTCTCTCATGCTCAGTCCTGTGCCTTTGCTTGCCATGTTGACCTAGTTTCTACTTTGTGGTAAGGTCTTCATCTTGTACATGAAAGACATGAGTTTGATTTCCTTATGGATGTCATAGTTTATCCAAAATCTCTGTCTTTTGTTTAGATGGGTTTCACACAGCATGTTTGCCCCTACGGCAGGGTTGAACCAGCCCACCTTTGCTGTTGGGGTCACAGAACATTTTGCCCCCC